TTAAATGTGTTATTTCCTAAAAACAAAGACATCTTACATAATAAAATGATCAAAATCAGGAAAATAATACGAATAGTCTGTTCTTTAATTTACAGTCCTATTTAAATGTTACCCATTGCCCCATTTACAGTTGTTAGAGTAAATGCAATATATATATATATTTTTTTCTTCCTGGTCCACAATCTAATCTAAACAAGTTGTGTTTAGTTACCATGTCTAGTTTTTCTGTTTTGTTTTTTTAATCGGTAACCGTTCCTTAGCTTTTATCTTTGGTAATACTGACATTTTGGCATTTTAAAATACAGGCTAGTTCTGTGGAATGTCTCTCGATAAGGATTTGTTGTGGTTTTCCTCACAATTGCACTCAGCTTATGCCTTTTTGGTAGAAATGCTGTGCCCTTGATGGCATTGTATCAGGACACACGCAGGATGTCTCCTTGGCAGTGTTACTATTCACCACTTGATTAAGATGGTGATTACTTTGCTGACAATTCCCAAATCTATTTCAGTCGTTTCCTCTAAGATCTACACCAGTATATACTGGGACTGTTCCAAGCAGCCTCCTAAAGTGATCTGCTTTTCCATTGATCCATTTAATCTATTCTCTGCTCAGAAGTCAGAGGGATCTTTTTAAAAAACAAATCATGCCCTGGCAAGTGTGGCTCAGTGGGTGGGTGTCGGCCGGTGCACTGAAGGGTTGCCCCTGGTTCGATTTCCTAGTTTGGTTGGACCCCTGGAAGGGGGTGTGCAGGAGGCAGCCCATCTATGTTCTGCTCTCACATCGATGTTTCCCTCTCCCTCTCCAAAAATCAATAAGAAATTTTAAATCAATAAATAAAATCAGACCTTTCTGTTTAAAACATTTCAATGGCTGTCTACACTATTAGAATAAAATCAAAACTGCTTATTCTGGCCTGCATCATATGCTCCTACATGCAACCCTTGTTCCCCTTCATTGTGCTTCAGCCACACTGGTCTTGAATAGGACAAGCTCTCCCCTTCTCCATGACTTGTACGTGGTATCTCCCGTGCCAAGAATGCTCTTGGGGGGCGGCTGAGGGTGTCGTCAATTGGGGGAAAAGAAGACAAATGTAAAACTTTAGACAATAAAAAAAAAGAATGCTCTTCCCTTTGTTCATATAGCATGACTGCCACATAAAAAAGGTCAGTCCCCTTGTCCCTTTACTAGATCAGCCTTTTGTTTTCCTCAGGGTTCTTACCACAATTGTTTGACTCGTCTTTCTGTCCATGTAGCTGTAGTTTTGCACCAACTAAAGTAAGTTCTATGAGGGCAGGACCTTGACCGTCGTCTGTTCTTAGCACAGTGCCTCCTAAGGGGCTCAACAAGTGGGTGGCGAATGATTTCGTCTTTCGGCCTTGGCATCCTGCTTTATAATTTACAAAGCAAAAGACATGAATGAGAACATTCACAGCAGTCTGGTTGTGGTAAGAGCCCCAGACTGGACACTATCCAAAGGCCCATAAACAAGAGGATGGATACATCGTGGAAGTCTTTATAATGGAGTCGGCAGCATGTACACGGAACATGGACGCATTCACACATAACAGTGAAATAAGTCGCATAGGGTGTATGCCATGTGATGTCGATTATATGAAGTTCAAAACAAGCAAACTAATCTGGTTGTTAGAAGTAAATGAACGTGTTTACCCTCGGTGTAGGCAGCGGCGGCTGGAGGTGAAGAGAGACTGCTGAGCTGCTGGTGGCCTATTTCCTCTGCGTGTTGGTTACCTGAGTGTGCTCAGCTTGTGGAAATTCAAAGCTTTACCTTTAGGGCTGGTACATTTATTTTCCCCCAATAAAGGTTAGCTTAAAAATGCACACACAAAAACAACTTTCAAAATGGGGTTCTCTGGCTTTAACACCAGAGAATCTGATTTGCTGGTCTGAGGAGGGGCAAGAATCAGCATTTAAAATAACAAGCTCCCCCACCTGGCAGGTGTGGCTCAGTGGTTGAGCACCGACCTATGAACCAGGAGGTCATGATTAGATTCCTGGTGAGGGCACATGCCCAGGTTGTGGGCTGCATCCCCAGTAGGGGGCGTGCAGGAGGCGGTCCATCAATTATTCTTTCTCATTGATATTTCTATCCTTCCCTTCTTCTCTGAAAACAATAAAAATATATTTTAAAAAAGCTCCCCAGTGATTCACTGAACACGCTTTGGCAAACACTTTCGGATTCTCCAGTTACAAAATTATTTTTCTAAAGTTCATTTGATTAAAAGTCAACCCTATTTAAAGTCCTCCAAATGTTCACTTTCATCCTCTGTTCTACAGAATCAAGTCCAAACTACCCAGCCTGGCATTCAAGGCCCTGCACAACAACCCTGCAGTAGCTACAGGCCTCACGGCTTTTCATATAGTTGTCTTCCCTTTTCCTAGAATGTGCTCCTCACTCTACAGCTCTCCTTGAAGAAGCAGTTGGAGATCCCTTCCCAAGCAGCCCCAGGCTGTTTGCGGATTTCTCTATGACAGTGGTTCTCAACCTTCCTCATGCCGCGGCCCTTTAATACAGTTCCTCATGTTGTGGTGACCCCCAGCCATAAAATTATTTTCGTTGCTATTTCATAACTGTAATTTTGCTACTGTTATGAATCGTCATGTAAATACCTGATATGCAGAATGTATTTTCATTGTTACAAATTGAACATAATTAAAGCATAGTGATTAATCACAAAAACTATGTAATTATATATGTGTTTTCCGATGGTCTTAGGCAATCCCTGTGAAAGGGTCGTTCGACCCCCAAAGGGGTCGCGACCCACAGGTTGAGAACCGCTGCTGTATGATAATGGTAAGGTAACTAACTCTAAGTAAGCCCCGACCACCTTGTGGTGTAGGGGACGGGAAATGAGCAGGATAATCCTTAGCAGCTACTTACATCAGAAACCAAAATATCAGACCATGCATAAGCAGAACTCTAATAGGCTGGCTACACCCAACTGGCTCGTCCAATCACTGGGAGGCTTGGCTAGTTCTGTCCCATCCACATCCTCCTTTACAAATCATTTTGAATCAATTCATAGATGTGATGGTCAATTTTATGTGTCAATGTGCTAGGCTACAATCTTCAGTTATTCATTATTCTAGGTGTTGCTGTGAAGAAAAACAAAAATTAGCGGGCATGCTTGATATCAAATGTTCATATTTCCGATTGTCTCAGTATTTTATAATATTAAAAATATTTTTGAACTGATGATTTTTTTTCAGCATCCTTAATGAGGTAGAAACAAAAAGGACCCAACCTGGGAAAGATTTTCTCCATGGCTCCAGCAGAGGGCCTTCGTGTCTCGTGTTTCAGGAGTCCTTACTTAGCTTAGAGTAGACTTTTGGCAAATGTATGATGAATGAATGAATGAATAAATGGATGAATAAATGGATGAAAGAAATACTTTTTAAAACTCCTATTCATTGCCTATACTCCCTGCCAGACACTGGCTAAGTGCTACATTTTACTTTTCTCAACAATCCCATGAGGTACTAGTAGATATTAGTCCCAGAGATTGAAAGACTTTATGAAGATCATAGAGGTAGCAAATAGCCAATTCTTGAGTTAACCCAGACCTATAATCTTTTAAATGTCATATAGGACATACAGAAAGTACATGCATGGTTGAAAAAAGGGAACACCTGTAACTACTACCTATAGAATATCAATCACCATCACCCCACAAGTTCTGTTACTATAGACTGAATTTTTGTGTGCCCCCGATATTCATATGTTAGAAGGCCCAACCCCCAATGGGATGGTATTTGGATATGGGACTTTTGGGAGGTGATTGGGGTTAGATGAGGTCATGAGGGGGTGCCCACTATCATGATGGGATTAGTATCCTTATAGAAAGAGACACCAGAGAGCTCACCCTCTCTTTCTGCACAAACACAGAGACAAGGCCCTGTGAGGACTCGGTGAGAAGGCAGCTGCCCACAAGCCAGGAACTGAATCAGCTGGCACCTTGATCTTCAGCTTCCCAGCTTCCAGAACTGTGAGAAGTCAGATTTCTGTTGTTTAAGCCATCCCGTCTCTGATATTTTGTTATGGCAGCCCTAGCAGACTAAGACATCTGTTTGTTCCTTTCCAGACACAATCTCTGTTTCCTGCCCCCGCTCCCCCAAATTTAAGAGCAATGATTTTCTTGCTTTTCTTTAGAGTTGATCTTCTGTGTTTAGTTTTGCCAGTTTTTGAGCTTTACATAAATGGAATTAAACTTGCTTTTTACCCTATGTTTGTAAGATCCATCCATATTGAACATATTTGTAGTTCTTTTGTTTTCACACATATTCTCATGGTTAAGGCCTTTTGTGTGTGTGTTAAGAATCCCTTTCCTTATTCAAGATCTCAAAATCTCAAAACCCTTCAGTCCTTGGGCCCACACTCTATCCACTGAGCCAAATTGGCCAGGGTACCTTCTGTCTATATTAGAAACAAGCCATATGCACACACAAAGACGAATAATGATATAAGAATTTATGATGTAATTAGTTTTGAAAAGGTGATCCAGGAGATAGGCCATAGTGTGTGTAAGGAAAGCTTTGTGAAAGAAGTAGAACTAAAATTATGCCTTGAGAAATATGCATTATTTGCATGGATTTGAGGATGACCCAGTCTAGCTAGGGAGAACTCTGTGAGCAAAGGTGCATTTTGGGATGGAGCAGCCACTCTGGGTGGGAATCAAGATCTAAATGGCGGGGAGGCGGGGGGCGTGCGGGAAGAAATATCTAAATGGCAAGCTGTGGCCTCACAGAAGCTTTGACTGTCAAATAAGGTCAACACAACTACTAGTATCTCAAGGAGCCAAAGGTTTACCAAAGGGAAGTCCTTTGAACTCTCTGAAATAAAAGTGATATTAATGCATCGTTTTCTTAATTCACTAGGCAAGTCTTCTTAAGAAAATGTTCTCAGTTTTTAAAACTTCTCATCAGTACTGCCTTGGGACCTTAGGAGAAGGAGTACCATGTGCAAGGTAACAAACACACACCCTGCAAGTCAAAACAAAATCCGAGTCCTTTATTCCATGTTGAGCTACCAAACGACCATCTGCAATCATGTTGACTTTTAGCCTGCAGCCATCGGACATGCCGGAGTTCTCCCCATCCCACTTAGGAGTTAAACGTCCCTGCACCTTCCTCTTCTTTCTCCAAAGTCAGGAACTATGGCCGCTACGCAGGGAGGTCTACCACCCGGGAAAGGAACTGGTAAGCCAATCATAGAACAGGACGTCTTGTGGCAGCATCAAGCATACCTGTGGGATGGTGGGCAGAAGGTGCACGCCATGCTAACGGTTTCTGGAAAGATGGCCCGAAACAAAAGCCTCGCCAAGGCAAAAAGATCTGGAACATAATGCCCTCGCTAGGAGGAAATGTTTCATAGGATGACAGGAGCAACGTGAGGGGAGGGGAGGATAATGACACAGACACCGGCTGCGATCTAATGACCAGAGCCCTGAGCGGGAGGGAATCCCACTTGAGGAATGGCCAGCTGTTTTCTGGGAGACTTGCCGTGCGTCCATCCTTCAGGTTCTGCCTGCAGGACAGAAGCTGGCTGTGGCCACTGTCCTTGGGCGTAAAGCCGTCTTCTCCCCCAGATCCTATATTCTACCAACCTGAGGGAGCTCAATGTGTATGGGATTGCTAAAGGACAGCCTCAGTTAAGGACCAGTGGGCGGAAGCCATACGATGAGATAGCTGATTGGGTCAAATGCTTAGTGGGCATCTGCCAGGAGGAATACGGCCTTTCTAAGGGAGGAGAGGATGCAGAATGTGCCCTGAGGTCAATTCTTCAACATGGAACTGTCATAATCTCCGCTTCCTCTTCCTCTGGGGCCCTGGAATAAAGAGCTGGCCTTGAGGGCCTGTCTCTCCTGTCCCCCAGGGGGTCAGCATTGGGTGGTGGGGTCTCTGAGGAGCAGTGTGCAAGGACCAGTGGAGGGGCTCCCCAAGAGGTGCTTTGGCATACATCGTATCTGAGGGGCGCACGACCTAAATATGTGACTGCAGTCGTGTTTCCCACCGATGGGCATTTCACTCGCATTGTCTGGTGTCACCCAGGCTGGACCTGGGCAGCCCTGGAGCTCCTGCAGCTGCTCACGCGGCTCACTCGGAATCCACTGCATGGTCCAAGGCATGCTGGGAGCGCCTCTGATTCCTGGACAGCGCATACAGGTACACAAAAGGTAGGCGGCTTCATGGGCAGGCGGATCAGGGGGATTTCGGCTGGGATCTGGTTGGTCAGCGTGAGCATGTAGCCAAGAGACCAGGCTATGCTGCTATTGTCCACCTGTGAAGTAGAGGAGATGGTTGAGTTCTCAGGGCAGGGGCTGAGGTGGGAATGCCATACCCGGGGCACACCTCTGCCACCAGCTGGAAACACCCACTGGAAAAGAGGTCAAAGGACTTGGCCAAGTTCAGACACTGCAGAGGCTGGGCGACAATCCAAGACACTGGGACCCCCAAAGGCTGGAGGGCCCTAACTCCAGCACCCAGAGGCCAGGCAGAACGAGTCCCCACAACGTCGCCACGGCCAAGTGGGAATAAGCAGAGTTGATGACAGTGAACTAGTGTCTGTTGCCGGCTGTGCAGTGTCTGCCGCTAAAGAAGGAAGGTAATGTGTGTTCGCTAAGCCGAGGGCCAGTTTCTAAGGAACAGGGTTTTGTCAGTTTCTTCTGGTAAATTCAATCAATTTTTGGTTGTATATTTTTAGGTTGTTTTATTAGATGGATAAATATTTCGAATTTGCAACCTTCATGATGAATTGAACTTTTTGTCACTCTGTTGTAATCCTCTCTATTGTGAATGATGCTCTTTATCTTAAAGACTATTGTTTTCAGATATTAAATAGCTACGGCAGTTTTTCTTCTGGGTGATGTTTGCCTGACAGTTTAAAAAAAATCTTTTTTTTTTTAACTTTCAATCTTTCCAAATCCTGATGTGTGAAGCCTAAGTGTTTCTCTTATAAATTACATATATTTGATTTTTAAGAATCAGGTCTGACAAGATCTGTCTTTTAATTGGTACGTTTGGTCCATTTATGATTATTGTAATCGTTGATATATTTGGACTTCTAATACCTTACTTTAAAAATTTCAATTGGTGCTTTATTCCTATATTTATTTTTTCCTTTCTTGCCTTATAAATTGTGTGTGTGCATGTTACCTTTAAAAAAATTAGCATTTTAGGCCACTCGAATGTGCCTGTATCCTATGACCCCCTGGCCCTATCCCCATCACACTGAATATTAGCTATGCTTGAATTCTGGGTTGCTCTGGTGTATGGATGAATTCTTCTCTTTTCCTTTTTTATTTGGTGTTTGTTTTCTTTTTTAAAAAACATACATTTTAAGCCACAACACTATTTATTCTTACTTCACATGTTTTTATAACATCTGGACTTATTTCTAGTCTTATTTCATTACTTCCTCCAAATATAGTTTTGATGTTCAGTCTTTGTGCAGCCAATCTTCTGCAGTCTTTTAGGCCCTCACATTCGGATACTAATTTGGCTGGATAGAAGATTCTTTATGAATAAAGGAAAGGAACTTGACACCTAGAATTCTGTGTGCATCCAAGTGTGTGCTCAGTGGGAAGTCGTTCTCCATTCTCATCATGTACTTTCCTGATAATTAGATCATGAAGCCAAGCAGGGAGAGGACATGCCCACAACAATCCTTATATGTTCCCAGACATCCGTATTTCTTGTAGATGATTCAATTTCACTGATGTAAAAATAGCCAGTCGCAGGCCTAATGCCAGATGTTGATTGGTTTAATCTAATTAGCCAAAGCTCATACCGAACAGACTGGCTCCAGACATACTTCAGGCTTTACACCAGCTCTTCCTGAACCCAGACAAGCCGCCCAGAACCCGGGAACACAGTGCTGGATGGGCATGTCAGCAAGGCTGCCGCAGCCCGAACGCAAGATCCGAGGCCCCGTCACCGCACAGTCACCGGGGAACAGCTGGGGTTCCAGTTTGGCCCATGCTGGACTCTTGACAGTAAACACAGTGCCTCAGGCTCATTCCGAGAGAAAATTCTATTTACCCCCTCAAGCTCTAAAGCCTGTATCTTACTCTGACATCTATATAAATGGAAAGCGAATAGTTACTACCCTCTTTTAAAAAATTTTTTTAAATTGATTTTAAAGAGAGAGAGGAAGGGAGAGGGAGAGAGAAACATTGATGAGAGAATCATCAATTGGCTGCCTCTTGCATGACTCCTATTGGGGACTGAGCCCATAACCAGGGCTTGTGCCTGACCAGGAACAGAACCAGTGACCTCTCAGTACATGGGATGGTGCTCCACTAACCTCAACACCAGCCAGGGCTTTGGTTTAAAAACCATCCTCTTTTTAAAAAACAACAAACTGTTCTATTTGAGGCTTCTTTTCAGAATGAAAATATGTTAGGATGAAATCCTTAACATATGTATTCATTCACTCAACAAACATTTACTAAGCATCTTCCAGGTTCTCGCCCATGTGCTGAACTGAATGCTGGGAATGTGAGGATCACACAAGTCCTGCCCTGGAGGAACTCAGAGCCCACGGGTCCTTGCTTCCAATGCTTTGCTCAAAGGAAAGGGTCTGCAGTGAACTCGGCTTCCCAATTCTTCCTCATCCCTCCTGGGAGGTCCCTGGGGATCAAAGGAACCTCTCTCTTTTGAGAGGAAGAGGAGGAAAAGACCTGTGCTCTGACTTACCTCTTTTTTAAAATGTATTTGGGGCCAGGTGTCCTCGGTGAATCTGTAGCCACTCACGAGCAAGTGGTAGATGTAGTGGGCCGAGAAGCAGTAGGAGCGGGCGTACACCTCATCGAACCGGGGCAGCAGCAGCGGGAGCTGAGAAGGTCAAAGCAGGGAGGGGAAGGCGGGCAGGCAGGTTTTAAAATGCACATTTTGGAACACGTTAGGACCAAAGGACTAGCTGAACAAATTGTACCACCCAGCATTTCATATTTATTTTAAAAAAATTTTTTTAATTTTAGTGTTTTTTAAAAATTGATTTGAGAGAGAGAGAGAGGAAGGGAGAGAGAGAAACATCAATAAGAAAGAACCATCAATCGGCTGCCTCTTGCATTAAGAAACGCAATGATATAATATTAAAAATATCCCTAGAACATCATCACGTAAGAACAATCTCTAAGCGTACAGGGTGCTCATCACGTGCCGGACACGGTTCTCACCACGGCGCCTGTGGTCAGAACATTGGTTCATGACGCAGATATGGCTCCCCGATAGCCCCATTTTGGGGGTTAGAAGCAGGACAGCATAGGGCGAAATTCAGAACATAGGCACTCCCGCGCACAATGGAATATACCCTACTTCTTTCTCCTTACACACTGACCTGGCTCCAGTCCTGTGAGCAGAAATCCCAGGTGCTGGAGTTGAAGGCGTCCAGGGAAAAGCTGCCCGAGAGGTTTAACGCGTTGGCTGTGTAGAAGAATCCCGCAAAGGCCTGGGAGGAAGCGGAACAGAAGGACAGCGTGTCTCAGAGTGGGACAGACCATGGAGGCGTGAGGGCAGGTAGTAAAAGCAGGAGGCAGGTCAGCAGCAGAGAAACGGAAAGGTGAGAAATAAATATGCAATGGGGGGAAAAAACCAGGAATCTCTCCGTGGTTTCTGCTCTTACCACAAAAGATCCTTTAACTTCCGGCTGATAAACGCCGTCGAAGCAGCAGATCTCTCGGTCGTGGCAGGCTCTGAAGGCAAAGAGGGAAGCCACCTTCACCCGACAGAGTAATGGGTCCCCAGTCCCTTCGAACGTGATGGTGTCATCGGGGTCGTAACCTCCAGGCCGCAGCTCCTCCGTGCACAGGCTGTCAAAGAGGTGGCCCGCGGTGAAGGTGGTGGTGTAATTCCGAGGGTAGCAGGGGTTGGTGGTGATGGTGCTGGTGGTGGAATTCTGTAGGCACAAGAGTGACCTATTAGAAATCACTCTTGCCGAAACCGGTGTGGCTCAGTGGATAGAGCGTCGGCCTGCGGACTGAAGGGTCCCAGGTTCAATTCCAGTCAAGGGCATGTACCTGGGTTGCGGGCACATGCCCAGTAGGAGATGTGCAGGAGGCAGCTGATCGATGTTTCTCTCTCATCGATGTTTCTAACTCTCTATCTCTCTCCCTTCCTCTCTGTAAAAACTCAATAAAATATATATTTTTTTAAAAAAAGAAAGAAATCACTCTTTCGTGGAGGACAAAGTACTTCCCTTTTGCCAACTCTTATTATCGCTACATGCTAATGCCAAGAGGGAAATGGGAAAAATGCCATTCTGTGTCAACGGGTACTTGAAGGCAACTGCCAGGTTGTCTAGATAACTCAAGTGGCGGTGGGGGGACAGTTACCTGTACGAGGTGCAATGTTAGGCTCTCGCTCACATGACCAGATCCAGCCCTTACGGCAGGCCTGTGAGGCAGGATTTATGAACTTCATTTTGGTGAGAAAACAAGATAGGCTTAGGTTAATCAACCATTTTGACTAGAGTATTATCTATCCACCTAATAAAATAATCCCAAAGGGACAAAATACATGAATTATGAGAATTAAGCTTCCGTCCCCCTCATTGCCCCCCACCTGACCCCCTCCCTGGAAGTGACCTCTATGGCCAGTTTTTGTGTATTCTACCAGAGATGTTGTCTGTACTTCTTGTGTGCATATGTGAATACATTTTCTTTTCTTCCCTCTTTCTTTTACTAAAACCATAAATGGTAGTACCCTACACACTATTCTGCTCCTTCCCTTTCTTACTTAAAAATCCATCTTTGGCCCTAACTGGTTTGGCTCAGTGGATAGAGCATCGGCCTGGGGACTGAAAGGTCCCAGGTTCGATTCTGGTCAAGGGCATGTACCTTGGTTGTGGGCACATCCCCAGTAGGGTGTGTGCAGGAGGCAGCTGATCAATGTTTCTCTCTCATCGATGTTTCTAGCTCTCTATCCCACTCCCTTCCTCTCTGTAAAAAATCAATAAAATATATATATTTTAAAAAATCCATCTTTGATATATTGTACATGTAGGGCAGCCTCTTTAAAAAAACACACTATGTTTTTTTTAATTGATTTCAAAGAGAAGAAAGAAGAGGGAGAGATAGAAATATTGATTGGCTGCCTCCTGCATGCCCCTACAGGGAATGGAGCCCACAACCCCGACATATGTCCTGACTGGGAATATAACCAGGGACATCCTGGTGCATGGGACAACGCTCAGCCATCTGTGCCTCACCAGCCTCTTTGTTTTAGTAGCTGCATAGAACTTCACTGTACAAATAAACTATAATTTATTTAAGAAATCCTGTCACGATGAAAATTTAGGTGTTTTCCAGTCATTTTGCCATTACAAATGGCACCACAATAAACATCCTTGTTATGTATAGATCTTTGATCTATTTGTAATTTATTTGGATTAAAATTGTAGTAGGAAGCTGACTTTATATATTTCCCAGATGACTATCAAGTTTTTTATGTCCTGATGAAACAATGTTCCCTTTATCTTATGCTGAACTAGAGGCCCGGTGCATGAAACATGTGCACTGTGGGGGGGTGGGGGCGGTCCCTCAGCCCAGCCTGCACTCTCTCGCAGTTAGACATCCTTAGCGCTGCCACGGAGGTGGGAAAGGCTCCCCCACCGCCCCTTGCACTCTCCAACCACGAGCCTGGTTTCTGGCTGAGCGGCACTCCCCTGTGGGAGAGCACTGACCACCAGGGGGCAGCTCCTGCATTGACTGTCTGCCTCCTGGTAACGGTGCGCATCATAGCAACTAGTCTTCCACCATTCAGTTGATTTGCATATTAGCCATTTATTATATAGGATTCCTAAATTGGTTCTGTTTATGAGTTTTCTTTTCAAAGGAGCAGGATTTGAACTCTACTTTCAAAGCCACTAAAGCATCATATTTTTCCTACAGTAAAATCTTGACTGAAGTAAAACACTGAACATGTGTTACTTAAAAAAAAGAAGAAAAAGATCTGGAAGGAAGGAAGGAAGGAAGGAAGGAAGGAAGGAAGGAAGGAAGAGTTCCTAATGTCTAACAAGTTATCAGAGTGAGACCTGAGCCGGGAGTGGTTGGGGACTGGTTAATAAGAGGATAATTGCCAAGTATCTACCCAGGTGTCCTCACCACACTGCAGGCCCTTACGGTACAGAAGAGGAAATGAGACGCAGATTCAGCCAGTGATCATGATGTAGTCATCTGTGTGAACCTTCTCAGTTGGGCTCGCTAGCATGTACTTGGCGCATGAAAGTGCTGGTCAGGCAGGTCTGGGCACGCATTTGTGGGTGATCCTCATCACGCCTGGATCCTTTCCCTCACCTGAGTCAGAAGGCTCAGGCCAGAGCCACCCTCTCAGCATCCAGAGGTTACCAGGTAAGTGGGAGAAATGGCTGGGCCCTGTGAGATGACTGTCCAGAGCAGAGGCTGGGCTCTCACACCTCTGCCCCCAGCCCTGGACTCACACCTGGAAACTTGTGTTTTCATATGCAAATGAGACCTCAGACAGGTGAGTATACTCAGGGCCAGCTGACTTTAAAAGGTTAGAGTCCGGACCCCTACTCACCCTGGGAGGATGGTTTCACCTGCCCCGAGGAGCCCGCCCCCCCCCACCCTCCCTCTCCCCCTGCCAGGGCCGGAGCTGGAGGAAGGAGCATTAAGCTTTGCCTGAAATAACAGGAGGTTGAGAAAAGAGGATTTTCCAGGGCTTTTCTCCTGGGAAGAGGCATGTTGGCTGAGACTTAATGCCTTGGCAGGGCCAGACCAAATGATTTCAAAGGCCTTATATAGCCTTCTGGGCCGGACGTTCCCCACCCCTGCCATAAAGGGATCCCGGGACTTGAATCATTTATAAAATGTCTGGAGCTCTGGAATTTCCTTGGAATTCTGACTCAAATACACTGGAAATGGTCAACACAACAGAGAGAGAGAGAAAGAGAGAGAGTGTGCGCGCTCGGACCCCCACAAGTAAACCGGAAAATGCTGTTGACGTACCCACCTTCTAACTGGAGCTGAAAGGACGGACCCCGGAAGGCAAGGTGCCCTTCCCTCAGCCGAGACCCCCCAGGAAACACCTGCTCCCCGCCCCCCACTCAGGTACCTGAAGGAGCATGGCCAGGAACCTCTTCTCGGCCTCGTTCCGCCCGTAGCACTGGAAGCTGCGTGTGTAGAGTGTGTACACGTAGCCGTACAGGGACACCTTGATGATGTCACTGGTGTTCAGCTCCACCTTCTCTCCCACCGCGAAGGATATCTGGGTGGAGGCGCCGCCTAAATCCAGGGCACCTGTGGTCTCCACGCCATTTGGATGCACCCACGCGTGCCATAGGGTCTTCTGCACCCAGGGAGAAGAAAGCATGAGAACAGGCCGGAGACGCCATTTCTGTTTGCCCAGGGCTCTCCACCTAAGACCCATCTCTGACTGCTAAGAACTAGGACTTATGGGGAACCATTCAGGGCCAAACCTCTCCTTTATGTCAGGGGTGGTGAACTCAAATGCTTACAGAGCAGAAATGAGCAAAGTAGGTTAGGTGTAGACAACAGGGAATGGTGGGGACTCTGGCAAACTGGGGAGTGTGTGTGTTACACTCTGTCCCAGTTAGTTGTTGCATGCAGGAATGGGAGTCCACTGTGACCAGCACTTCCAGCGTGTGGGGGGTGGGGGTCAGGAGAAGCTATGAATTTTTATGTGAACTTTTCAAAATATTAACAGTTGGCAGTGAACTAAAAATTTAAAAAATATATTTGAGGAGGAACAGAATAGGGGTGGGGCTGGCTATGGTCTCTGTAACACGGTGACTGTCTCTTGGAGTTAGCTTTCCTCTGCACCAGAGAAGAAGGGCGTGTGGAGACCGGCGTGTCACGGGGACCTGGGGACACGGGGACCTGGGGACACGGGGACCTGGGGAGCGGGCCGCCCGAAGGCTCTGTAAATTCCAGAGGGCTATGGGCCAGCTTAGAGGAGTCATTCTCCAGCTGCCCTTCCTATTACCCAGAGCCCAGTGTTAGAGCCTCACCCCTCCCCAATGTCTTATTGGCTCGTAAAGGGACGCTATTCCCTCTCCCCGGGCATTTGGTCCTGTTTATGAGCCAAGGTTTTGCACCAGCTAGCGTGTCTTTTCTTACCTACTGTCCCCAGTGTTTCCCTGATGCGTCACACAATAGGAACGACCCGGGACAGATGCCCGGTTGGCATGCGCCTCTGCTGAAGCTACCACCCACAGGGAAGGGGTCAATGGCAAGATGAGAAACCATGCATTTGTTTTCACACACCTCCAGGAAGTTTCCCATTAAATAGTTGGCTGTAATCCATCCATATATCCCTTCCTCTTGCCCAGAAATGATTTGAGCACCCCTAAAGTCAAAGGGCTGGGACTTGAAGTAGTTTTGGATGCTCGCAAGGACTTCATTAGCTGCTGTTTCATTTTGCAACCTATGCAAGGCACAGAACACACGAGGCTGAGTGCCCGGACAACAGAGCCTTAAGATACCCTCTATCAGGCGAACAGGCGAAACCTCCCCCCTTCCTCTTGCCCAGAAATGATTTGAGCACCCCTAAAGTCAAAGGGCTGGGACTTGAAGTAGTTTTGGATGCTCGCAAGGACTTCATTAGCTGCTGTTTCATTTTGCAACCTATGCAAGGCACAGAACACACGAGGCTGAGTGCCCGGACAACAGAGCCTTAAGATACCCTCTATCAGGCGAACAGGCGAAACCTCCCCCAGAGACGGCGGCGGGGCGGGGGAGGGGGAAGGGAGGAGGGAAGCAGAAATGGTATAAGTCATCTCTTGGGGGCACCATAAAAAGGAGCCCTCATCAAGCCAGAAGGAAGTGGGGCTCAGAAGGGGGCGGGAAGGAAGAGGGTTGACTCTCCAGCTTCACCAGGGGGGATATGAGGACGCTCGGGGGTGTCACTGGTGGAATCCATTCGTGTGCTGCCCTCGGAGGGGTGGCAACATAGGAGTTTCATGTCACCCAGGACAAGGTGTGATCAGGCCATTCACACGCTGCCATTTCACCCTCCGGGAGAAAGCTCACCGGGGCATTATCTTCCCTTCCATCCCTGTGTTAAGGAAGCCAGGGCCACGGGCTCACTCTTGGCTCCCGGAGAAAGAGCAGTGTGACAAGCCGCAGCAAGCGATCGATGCTTGGAAAAGAATTCAGAGTTTCCCTAGTTTCATCTGTTCTCATCCAGGACGATTCCCATTCGTTTTTTAAAATTTTGCCTTTTCCGCCAAAACCGGTTTAGCTCAGTGGATAGAGCGTCGGCCTGCGGACTAAAGGGTCCCAGGTTTGATTCCGGTCAAGGGCATGTACCTGGGTTGTGGGCACATCCCCAGTAGGGGGTGTGCAGGAGGCAGCTGGTCAATGTTTCTCTCTCATCGATGTTTCTAACTCTCTATCTCTCTTCCTCTCTGTAAAAAATCAATAAAAATATGTTTAGAAAAATTTTGTTTGCCTTTTCTAGCAATTAAAATGTCAGCTAGTTGCTCCGAAGACATGGCTCGCCGTTAGAGTTTCACAAGGAGTTAATATTTAATGCATTCCAATGGAACATTCATTCCCTTTCTTCCCCAAGCATTGACCTTTCTACCCCACGGTGCTGGTCATGGGCTATCAATCACGGAGCCTTGTAGTTATTTCTCACTCAGAGGACTGGGGGCGGGGGAGGGGGGGGAGCAGGAAGTAAAAGTTGGGTTGTTTGTTTCCATGTGGAAGAAAAGGCAGAAGGAAGGGATTTCTGTATCATTTCTATTTCAGGTAAATTCAATGACTTCAAAACACGGCAGATTCTAAGAAATTCCACATTCCTCTTGGTCAACCAGGACACAGGAATAGGAACAAGGGTAGGAAAACGGCCAGAAAAAGGCCCAATCCAACTAAGACTTTTTTGGATGGTGATGTTGAAGAGGCCCTGTTTGCTTGTTCCTTTGTGTTTCCTTCATGCCTACATGCGATCTGACATCACTGGGATCACAGACAAGGGGGCTTGGGAGGAGAATGAGTGTCATCTTTTGGGGATAAAGCCTGATTTTCAAAGTTTGGAGCAGCTTCTTCTACCCTAGAGAGATTTGAGTTCGATGTTGTTGTTTTTTAAAACTATTTTTTTCTTTTATTTCAGGGCCAATGAAATACTACAATGAAGAAATGGAGGTAAATGGCCTTCAGAAACAATGCAACTGGGCTAAGGCATGGCTGCAAATCTAGAAGGAACTGCTTAGTTGGATGAAATGAGATGTTTGTTTCATAATAACTCCAAAGGCTTTGATGGGGTGAGGGGAGGTGCAGACATTTCGTGACTTTGAAGTAGATTGCAGTGTCGTTTTGTACATGGGTACAAGCTACATAGCTATGGCTGGCCCTTAGTGGAGCTGGTTGTGCACAGGTGTCAACATAGGAGGTGTCAAAAACAGTTTCTACTTTTTGCCCAGCTGGTGTGGCTCAGTGGTTGAGCATTGCCCTATGAACCAGGAGGTCAGTGTTCAATTCCTGGTCAGGGCACATGCCCGGGTTACAGGCTCGATCCCCAGTAAGGGGGGTGCAGGAGGCAGCCGACCAATGATTCTCTCTCATCATTGATGTTTCTATCTTTCCC